CGCATGCCACCTTCACCCCCCCCCTGCGCAACACATCGTGTTTTTATGCAAAGGGAGTTGGAACCTCTTATTGCAAATGCATGAAAACGACATAGAGGTCACAGTATAGAATATAGTACAAAGATCGTGGTTCGACATGAATGAATATATTTTTCCAACTCTAGCCCTGAATATTTTAACTCTGATTGTGTCGGTATACTCAGCGGGATCTTACACTTTCAAAAGATAAAGACAAACCATTTCTGAAAATATTCTTCACAAAATCAGTACCAAACGGGCCGCATATCGATGTAAAACAGAGCCGGTGGATACCCGCAGGCAGTACAGTCAACCATTCGCGTTATTTATATTTTATGTGGGATAATCTAGGACGGTGGTCAAGAAACTGCAAAGGACACCATGCCTTCGCTCAAATTCGGGTAGAATAACCTAGAAGTTGGTGGTCAGGGAGTGCTGCTGTAGTGGTCGCGTCTGTCCGACGCCCTCCTAACTCTTGACGCCGCAGACGAGGTCAGAGCATAGGACCTCGCGCGAAAGCAGTTTTCCCGCGTGCCTCACGCCTATGCGCAAACGGACGCGCGCCTACGCTAGCCAGCCTTCACCCATCTCAAGGTCGCACCACGGCGGCTAGTCTAGACATTAGCCACGTGATGGGTTAATGTAAAAAAGCATGGGCCGAAATTGACGCCCTGGCAGCCGGACTTTCATCCGAGAGTTCAAAACTCTTTCCATCTATTCTCCTATCCTTCTGCAGAATACACTATTCCTAACAATCTGGCTTCCCAAGACTTCTCCCATCTCCTAAGGAACCGGGCCGGAAAGATCACAGTCGTTAGGGTTAAACCTGAATAGCCTTAACACCACGCGATACTACCTCTATCAAGACCACGTCTACGTAACCAGGTGATTTGTCTGTTTTCGTTTTTAAGGCACACACGCAGCCTAGTTTACCAGTGCGGAGTGATTCGCCACAAAATAGTAACGCCAACGGTGTAATGTACGCTTTTTTATAGGGAAGATCGGGACAACGAACTATGTTCACATGAACGTTACGGCCGATAAAGCTAGTTCATCCAACACTAGTCACATCCACGGCAAGATCTTTCAGGGCCTTGCTATGGACTAAGTCACAGAGTTGCCTATCGCGAACCGCAAGCGTTAATGAATAAAATATGTTCGAATCCGCAATAGACGATCCCTTAGGTGAAATAAAAACCAGCACATTGTACCGGGCTCTCGCAACAATCGTAGTTAGCGGGGTGAATAAACTTGAGGATGGATTCATCTGCCGACGAAAATTTTAGTGCTGGGTGACCACCGAGGACGGAGGCAAGCAGCTATGAGAGTGGCAATGGGGATGCAGATGAATTTACCGTATCTAGCGCTAGTTTACCGATTTATTGTAACGTAAGTTATATTACTTGACTGTTGAGACCATTTTAATTGGAGTTAGCTTAAGGTAGCCACCCGGACGCCTGCATAATTGTCACTTCTCCCAGTCCTGTTTCTAAAGCTTACTTAGTGGCCAGATAGGCTAGTGTAACCAATGGAAAACGAGATGAGCAGATGGCCCACGTCAGTGCGAATTCCTGCCAGCTGTGGGTTAAGCTGGAGGCAGCGGTAGCAATGTCGACAAATAACCCGCAAACTATCAGCTGGTGCTGGGCCCGGAGCAAGCGACAGCGAGAGCCACCTTGCGATAGGACCGCGCTAACTGACTACCTGCTCGTGGCCGACACTTAGAAAACTCTTTCCCCAGATCAACGAGCGACATTGGAAAATTGCCGGAACGAACCCCTCCCTCAATTGGAATACGATTAGCACAGTGGCAAAAAATGCGAGCCCAAGGTTTTCAGATCTAATACCAACACTAGAAGCTTTACGCACTCCAGACAGTCCCCAGATTTTAAAAGTTCAGTCAGTGAAAACACTCGTCTTCCCATAAAGTTAGAAGAACGATCACAAAACTCTGGATACCAGCCACATTTCGATACCCCAACCCGGCCCTTTAGGTAGTTTATTCATATTCATCTCACCGGTCCACGACTACTCTCTTGTCCCAGGAACCAAATTAGAATAGCAAAGGGCCACCGGAAGAAGAAATTTGTTGGTTTGACGTCTTGAATTCTCTCTCGGACGCGTCGTCCCAGACATATGGTAAATAAATCTGTTGTTAAAGCGATCACACCCCTTTCTGACTTTCCTGTCCCATGGCGGCTACAACAGCGCCATTCCCTTAATCTGATAGCGATACCGCCGGCCAGAAAGCACAGGCGCGGTTTAAACCCAGATCAGGTCACGCTAGACCTCACCATTATCTGGTATACAAGACAACATGATTTCAACTAAAACTCTGGAACTCAAGACCGGATACACACCCGGCCCTATGAAAGCCACTCCTCCTAATCCATGCTAATCTCCCGATCTTCGTGGAAGTTGACCCAACTTCGACATACAATGACCCTGATCAACTGTTCTTTAATTTTACATAGATGCGATGGGGGAGCTGATCCCTTAAGCTGCAGTAAAAATTCTTTACAAGTTAAATCTTTCAAAACAAACACGTGTTTACACGAGATTCAAGTTTACACCAAGGATGTAAGAGCACAGGATAGCCCAGCGCAGCCGCATTCAACATATAATGGCAGACGCATAAAAATCAAGTAACTGAATGAACCATTTCTATTCTAAATTCTACAGAGGAACGCGCTTACTGGGAAGCTAGAAACCACAGTAAGGGTACAGCACACGGGATCAACATTGGAAAACATAAACAGAGTCCTCCGGCGCCTGTAAGTACACAACATTGGAGGAGAGTTCCTTCTTAAGTTCCATCAGACTGGCAGGTGGTTGCATGAAAATGGGTACGAGCTTCTCGCAAACTGAAGAAAAGTCAAGTACCGCTGTTACATTCGATTTGAATAAAACGACTGCCACGACGGATGGAAAACCTTCCGCAGCGCGCTTGAATATCTCAACGTGCTTGGGCTAAAGATAAATAAAAGCATATTTAAGGTTGATGAACAAGTTTTAGTATGCTCTGAAAGTCGGGGCCTGATACTCACCTTAACCACTGAAATATCATTTGTAACACTACCCCATTGTAGACTGGGATACTCCTTACGCAAACGCAGGAGAGATGCCGTCAGGTTGAAAACGTTAGGGCCCCGATTTGCAGCCAGGACAGCCTAGAAGACAAAAGAACGTCACACAATAAGCACGCGAAAATAATGAAAAATAAACATGAGAAAGATGAGACTGACCTCTACGGTTTCTGTTATATGACTCTCGGATAGGTATTTTTCAAAATACATGGAGACTGATGAATTGACGGAGAATTTTTTGCCGGTGAAATCCCACGGCATTGGCAGAGAGCTCCCTATCGTTGAGTCCTCCCTACTGTTTGGTTGGGGAGATTGACCGAAAGGATAAAAGACATTGGGCGGCAAAACCGAGTTCGAAGGATTTATTCCGAGTTCTGAGCCGTAATATATGATAGGTGTACCTGTAAAACGGTAACCGAAGTATTTAATTGAAGGCCGAAAACGTGGACACATCAACAACCTCAACCGCAATGATTCGACATACATGAATTATTTGCTGATATGGCATTGGACGTTAAAGATGACTCACCAGGCAAGAGGAAAGTCGAGACGGTAGATATTAGGTCAGAATATGGATTATTTGAAGGGGAAGCAGTCGCAAGGCCGACGGTAACATTGGTTGAATTCATCATCGCCACGTACGATCCAATAGATTTGTCGGTTAGTGACGGATCCGCCGGGAGCAACTTCCTATTTGAAAAATTGACGTCAACAAACACCGACACTTACCATCCGCGGAGGAAGGTAAAGTAACGGTTGACCACCATATGTGCACCAGGTCGTTCCCCAGTCCCCGCCAAAGACAGAGAATCATCATGAGTCCTAACGCCATATCCAATGTTTCCGGCATCAGCCATCAAAACCCTAGGAAATATATTATGCATAATAACTCGCTACTTTGGGCGCCCGGATGATGCAGAGAACTCGTCAACGACCTTACGCAGCTCGTGGACGACGTTGATTGTCCCATTTGTAAACAGCTTGCACGAAGGA